AGAAATAATCCAAAATTTCAGCACCAATTTCCAAGCAGTTTTTAAGTTTAGGTACCACGCCCCTTTTCCTTTTTTTTTTATATCTCCTGGAATAACGAAGATATAAAATTGCAACATATAGTGAAATTTGCCCCTCATTCAAAAAATACTATTCAAATTTGGGTAGCATATTTCATTAGAATGTTATATGCAAATGCACAGGTTTGTAACAAGTTTTAGTATTATATATTTTACAATGTTAAATGCGGTATTATTTATGAATAATTATTATTCACAACCGGAAAAACAAATTTCATAATTGTACAACAGGCCTCAAGAGACCTAAAATGTGTCAGGCTCGCACTGCCAGGCGTATTTCACAGATACTACAAATTGGTGCCAGTATTGCCAACAATTACTTAATTTGGATTAATTTGTATCAAAACTTTGACAAGTCTTTTGAGAATAATTTTATTCAATTCTCTTACAGTACAGTATTTATTTGAATAAACCACAATTTGAATAAATACCTCCCTTGAATAAACTTACCCTCTAGAGCCTCATTTGAAATAAACAATTCCCTCAAATAAATGCAGAGAGGCATTCATTTTAACTTGAGTAAATGCCCCAAAAAGCAAAATACAAAGTTTTTACCTATTATTTTTATGGACCACAATACATTTTGCTTTGTAATTGAATTTCTATAATTTATATACTATAACTGTATGGTTTTATATATCCTTGTGAAAACCCATTTAAGAATGAATTATGTTTTCTCAATTTCCAAAATAAAGGCACCATTTATTTTATGGTACTACTCTATAATAAACATTATCATCTTATATTTCCACATTCTATCATGTGAAACCATCCATATACTAAAAAATTTAAGAGTTTTATTTATTTTTATGTTTAGAAATATTATATGTATTTTAATTTAACAACTTTAAAAACCACTGGCGCTTTGCTTTGTTCACCTGTGTGTGTACACTGTGGACAATAAAAGAAACTTAAATCTTTCCAAATGTAAAGTCATGATTATGACTAACAAAAAGCAATCTATTCATTACGGATATAACATTTATAGTACCATACTTGAAAGTGTTGTTAATTTCTTTGCTGGGATCTGCAGATGACCAAGGATTTTATCTCTGAGCAGTAACCCAGGATAAATAATAAAAGAATTAAATTTTATTCCTCAAATTGATGCTGCTGTTAGTAAAGCAAATAGAGTGCTAGGTATGATACGACATAGCTGTTGGCGTTTTGAAAATTCGTCTACTGTATTTTAATTAATTTGTAAGTTTCTCTTGTTCGTCCCCATCTTGAGTACTGTAGTGTTGTATCTAATTGTCCAGTCATTTTGTTTGTTATTCTACTTTGTTGTTGTCCCCCTTGTCTATTTCTCTTCCTTCCCTTGATTCTCGTCGTTCATTGTTTGATCTTTTTCTGTAAAAATGTATAAATTCCCATTGTGATTATGATTTAATGTCTCTGTTCTCTTTTCATGTCAAAGTTGTTTGTTGCCGTACTCGTCATTCTAAATGTAATCTTTTATATGTCCCGTATTGTAGAGTCCATGTCATCAAAAATGGTTTGTTTCTCGTGTAAGTCGTTTGTTTAATCGTTTTGTTGAAAAAAGATAATTTGATTGACTTTTTCTTTGATAATTATAAATGTTTTTGTAGTAAAAATTAATTGTTAAGATTGTTTGAAGTTTATATTCTCATTTATATTTTAGCTTCTTGATCCATTCTGTAAGTGGTGGGTTTCCCGACGTTGGATGTGATTGTAAATAAACAATAAATAAACAAAACTTCCTTGTCTCTTTTATGCTTTCCTCATCTCAATTATTTTGTATTATGTATGTGTATAGTATGTGCGAAGACATTGTTGGCATCCTTGTGTAGGCCTACTGTATTTGTCCCTTGTGGGCCAGAAGGAAAGCACGGAAATGAGTTAGCGACTTGATTGGAGCAGAGAATTAACAAAATGACGGATATTCATGTGATATATTGCAGACTTACTTTACAATCAACCAACTTGTGATCTTGAAATTAAGTAAAGAACTCTTCATAAACATTCTTTCAAAAACAGTATGAATATAAATATTAATTATATAATTGAACATTCATACTATAAAGTACTAGTATTTTAACTAAACAGATATTCATCCAATCCATTTTAGGTCAAAAGTTTGGATCAATTGTAAGATGAGTCATTTCTTAAATAATCAACATAAAAGAAGAAAACACATTTAATAAAATACAGTAAATATCATTTTTACGGCATTCAAATATCATCAAAAAATGCCTGAAGTGCTAAAAAAAAAAGCTGAATATGTTATCCCAATTTACTTAAAAGCATGTAGAGTAACGTTTCTGAGGCTTGCAAGGATTGAGGAATGTGGCTAATCAGAAGGGTGAATAGTTATTGAAACATTAAGCAACCAATAACGGTGCACACACTAAGTGGGTAAAAATACTAAAAATATGACCATTAATTTTTCATCGGAAGGGAATTTAGTTCTGCACTCAATTTCCAAATTCTTCCCAGTCGGAAACCAGCTACTGTAATGCCCCTGCCAACACTCTTTTTTATGTCTTTGTTATCCTAATAACCAATTAGAATGTATAACAAATAATGAGATACACATTATCTTTGTTAATGAAATTGCAGCTGAATCATAATTGTGGAAAGGGTCATTTTGACATATACCGTACTGTCTCTAATAAACACCCCAGGGGCGTTGCATTTTTTCAAAGGGGGGGGGACGTTTACTAGAGGTGAATTGTAAAATCAAAAATTACCTAAACAAGCTGCTTTAAACGGTCAATGTTCTTTATTTGTAGAGGAACAAGTTAATGTGCAGGGTATCTCCAGGCCTGCTGCTATTTTGCTGTTCCTTCGTTTGTTGCTGGATATTTGAACATCAATAATTCCTTGTGTTTCAAAAAGAAATAAAATATCTTCGAGTTCTCTTGGGGTAAATGTCTGATGATGCAGCGCGGTGCTTCTCCTTTCACAACAGCAATCGCGTGCTTGTCAAAAACATTGTCGGCCTCATGAACTAGGCCTAGCACCGCACCACCGCACGCAAAACTATCTGCCCTCAACTTGAAGAAACATTCTCACTACGGTATGGACTTCATTGACCAGACACCTTGAATCAAATTAGCGTCAAACACGCGACACATTAACAATACACGATTACCCGTCGTTTGCAGCTTACCCTGTTTTTACAAGGCTAACGAAATACCATGAGAGAAACACAAAATAGGCTTAGTGATCGTGAAGACAGTAAACATCAAACGTTTAGGGTAAGCTTTTTTGAGTAGTATTTATTTCATTTCATATCAAAGAAAGCAGCACACAGTACGGTATTACTCCTTGTTTGTCAACCTTTTTATGGACTGGATACCCATGTTAATTGATTGGGCACTCATTGCAAAATGAAAAAAACTCAGAGGGGGCGTTTATTAGAAGAGGGGTGAAAGCTCAACAAAAATGTGTTCTCCACAAAACCTTATAGTAGAATAAGAATCGGGTTCTGTTGTATATAGCTCAGTCAAACAGCCTCTGTGCACTAGGCTACCTGCCCAAAGTAGTACCTATTAATGGGATTTTAATGATCAACAATTCTTTTTTGTGCATTAATGAGTTTTCCAAACATGGTTAAATGATGTATCTGTACAATTTCCCTATTTTCATAATTGAGGCAAATTTTCACAGCAACTTTTGAAACTTATAGAACTGTGTGCTGAAAGCCACTACCTGAAATAGGTGGCGCTACATAGGAATATTAATATCAACTTAAACCTAATGCCTGCATTCACTAGGATAAGTAACGTAGTTTAGGCCTACTAATGTGTCATCTATTGTTTAGGCACATCACATTAAACAACTACTGGTAGATATAGTTCAATGTAACTAACAAATAAGATGATCAAATAAGACATTCAACAGCATTTTGCATTGGTCCCAATCTTAACTAGCTTTTGAAAGGCTTAAACAATGCGACCTGATATTAATTTGATATTTTAGTTTTCAATTTAGTACAGTAGTTCTCAATCTCTGCTCTCTACATTATTTATTCCTCAAGATATGCATCTCCCTCTACTATCGAAAATAATATTGGAATATTATATATAACGACCATCTTTTATCTAAACGTCCAGTGGCGTACAGTGAGCAGGGGTATTAACAAGAGAATATTAGGAAGCAGTGGAAGACAATGGGAAAATAAGGGGAAGCTACCTGGCCAAGAATTATGTGATATATGGAAGGGAAAACTTTGGGATGTCACTGCAAGCTTAGATTTACAGAGCTATGTTATATTATCACTATGAACAAAAAAAACCACAACCCAATTGTGCAAAAAATGAGAATAAAAAACCAAAAGATACAGCAATAAAGATCAGTAATATTAAAATAATGAGACAAGACTTAAACGGATGGCGAATCATGCAGTTTTAGGTAGTTGATGACAAAGCTTTGGAACAGCTACAGAGAAAGAATGATCTCTGCAACTTTGAGAAACTATTGAGAAGCACCAGATAACATAAACTTCTTATGGAGACAGTCTGCATTCCTCCAAATTGTCAAAACATGCACTAAAGTTAAAGTTGAACTAATAATTTAAAAAGTGAAATATATCCAAGTACCATAAATGCTCGAAATAAGCACCACAGCGCTTATTTATAACATTTTTAGAAGCTTCAGTGCGGCACTTATTCGAGAGAGGCAGTTTTATAAAAAGATTTTCGCATGGCACTTTCCATGTCCATTCAAATGTTGCCTACCTCACATATTCCTGTAGTTTGGTAGGATATCATAGGTCCTATTGAAGCAAGGGCAGACACATGTAAAAATCTGGGTTGGGCCCATGTGCATTGTGAAGCACCAAGCCCAGGAAGGAAGTGTGGTATACTGTAGTCAATTGACTACATGACCCCAGATCCGCAACTGTGTTGAAAATGGTGATGATGATTACAGAAATTTTTGGAAGAAGTGACTCTTACCTTGAGTTGAGACTTGGACGATGAGATTTCTGAAAACTGTGCCATCGGATACGTGTGCGCTTACCACTGTAAAGGTTATAACACATAAGAACATTAAAGAATCAATGTAGTTACCATTTGCTGCATAAGGGATATCATTCAAGTTTTGGCAATTTGCAAGGATTGACCAATTTTGTATTGATTTTAATTGTGCCTTGTATAACTTGGCAGAAGGAGCAGTATAAATTCTTCTACTATTAATATTATTAAATAAAAAAAAAATTGCATCTAACTTCAAATGATCTACAATAAAAGTATTAAATCCAAATCACAGTATTAGAAGCATACAGTTACAATAGAAAATGGTCATCTTAAACTTGTAGACCATTTTTTGTAGAGTTCTTAAATAAATGAATTACATTATAACCTACAGACAGAACAGACAAAACAATGTCTATAGAAATCAGTTACAACATGGGTAGGGCGTCCTTTAAACTAAAGTCAGGCTCCAGAGGAAAAAACTTTTTTGATATGAAGTAGAACTGATTTTTCTAAGACAGAAAAAAGTAGTTTGATCAAAAACTGAGCAACGGTGAATGAGATACAGATTTTTGAATATTTTCTGGGGGAAAAGGTGTAAAAATGGGTTACGCCCATTTTCCCCCCAGTTTTTAAATATTCACAAATCTCGTTCACCATTCCCCAGTTTTTCGTCAAACAACTTTTTTCTGACTTAGAAAAATCAGTTCTATAACACATCAAATTTTGTTTTGCCTCCGGAATCTGATTTTAAAGACTACCTGCATTGCAAACTTGACTGTTGCCACTCAACATATATCGTTTAAAATCATATTTTTTTCATGTTATTGTTATGTAATTGTATTTCTTGCAGGTTGCAGATGACAAAATAGGACTGAAAACAAAATAGGCCATTAAAAATACAGTATCTGAGTTGGAGGAACACTGGCTCACAGTGAAACTAATGTCAGCATGACCTAGTAACAGAAGCAGGTCAAGTGAAGTGCTGCATAAAAATGGACATAATTGGTGACCTTATATTTCCATGGTGACCTTATACCAGGAGTCAATATGGCTTTCACTGTTGCATTGATTACTCAGTCTACAGTAGAAAGGGGAAATGTTGTTTCAAAACAACCAATGATAATATGCAAAAATGGCAAAGGAAATAAATAAATGTTTTAATTTAAAGTAATACTCATTGTTATTCATTTTAGGCTCAGAAATTAAAATAAAACTTGATAATCCTACAGCGAGCATACAAATCACAGCAGGTTCTCTGACAGTGCCTGCAGATATACTGTAGGATTAAAATGCCCCAGAAAACGTTGGTGGCAATGGAATAATAAGCAAACCATTCTGACAACGTTTGGAACTTGGGAACATTTTACAAATGATTTAGAGCAGTAAACTGGCTTACAATCAAACATCTGTCGCTGTGTTTGTTTAAAAAAAAATAAAGGTCGTATGAATAAGGTCGCTGATTGCATGAATTGAATAAGGGGGCACAGAGAAAATCTCAGCATCAATTGTGGAATGAGGAAGCTGTGGTTTGACATTCTTCAGAAGTCATGTTTCATTCAGTCAACCTTTGATGATACATAGGCGATTCTTTTTAATGCCATTTTAATTTAAAAAGAAAATTGAGATCAAAGAAACAATACAATCAAACAGGAGTTTGAATGTCAAATACTGTATAATAAATATAACATTGAGTCTGGATAGGGAAATAGCATGATATTAAAATTGGATTATCATAACAGATTTCATGCAGAGGGTTAATAATTAATATTTCAATAGTATATATTATCATTATTTGATGTGGGTCTAATAAAAATTAAGAATATGTACTAAAATTAATCAAAATGGGACTAAAGTGTTGAGTATTTCAGTGAATATTTTTATTGTTGACATAGATAATGTAGATGGTGGAAAATGGAATCACAAATAATTGTTATATTAAAAATGAGTTCAATTACCATTAAACCTAAATTATTAAGTACAGTGGATTCCTGCTTGCCTATGCTGAATATTAATTTGTTTAACTTTCAAACCTTGTGTACAGTAATGTGTACTGTGATTTGTATTTTTTATATTTTTTTTGGTTCACATGGAAGTCTTGCTGCCAAAAGTAGTACAGGAGTAGCAGGCAACCCCACCAGGTACCCATTTATACTCCTAGGTGGACAGAAGCAATAGAGATAAATGCCTTGCTCAAGGGCACAAGTTAATTGCACAGTAAGGGATTGAAATCTCGAACAGAAACCAGAACCCTGCGGGTGCGTACGTTCCTTTGTACGTAAAAAATCAATGTACATTTGTGAATTGCAATAACTTGATTGTATCTTTTTGAATAATGATTGTGTAAGGTAATACAGTATTTTCATTTTGAATTTTAAAAAATCAGAGGCGGATCCAGAAATTTATGAAAGGGGGAGGGGGTAAGGGGTTCTGCGAAGTGCAGGGATGTCGTTATGCAGGGGGCGGAGGTGGGCAGCGCCGCCCACTCTTGACGTCTTGCGCCCATCCTAAAGCTATTTTTAAGGGCTTCTTGCCAGCCTCATAAAAATTCTTCCCCCCCCCCCCTTAAAATCATGAAGAAACACAGGTTTTTGCTCCATAAACCGTATTTTCCGGTGAATAAGCCGCAAATTTAATACGCGATTTTCCCCTCGAAGTTTGGGGTGTGACCTATACACCAGTCGTTAACCTACTCCCAAAAAGTTCAGATTGCGAACCGCAGCGAAAATCAGGTGCCGTCTGTCTAGCTTGGGCCCATGCTCTTAGCCCAATTAATTAGCCTAGCCTTTGTTGAAGGGCTAGCATTTGTAATTACACTCACTATACAGTGCTGTACTGTGATTCCTACTACATTTTCTACGACAATCAAGGAATGGTTTGGGTTGTTTACATAATTATTTTCATAGTTACTTTCACTCAAACATTTTTGAAACACATTTAATTCGAAATCGCTTCGCTCAAAACAATAAATAACCTTCTTTTCGGTAGTGTGCTCCTAGAGGTCACGTGAGCAGCTTCATTTATGATGTCGCAACAAAACACATGTGGGCAGTTGAAACTTTCTGTTCGACGTCTGGTTCCCAGTGGCTTTTACCGTTATAGAAAGAATACTGATACCGCTATATTTCAGAATAAAAGCTTGTGAAATTAATTTATGCAAAAAAAACATGAGTTTTCTTGAAGTTGTAATAATTATTTTACTGGAAATTAATTGAAGAAAGGCATACGTTCGTCCGTCTATCACATGCTGTATGTGTGTATAGACGGTCAGTCCATCACATGCTGTAAATTTATGTGTCCATAATTTTAAGGTTCTCCCCCACCCGAGACTGTCCATCAGGTGCTGTATTTTCTAACCATTATTTTCCCAAACATCATTTGATGAAGCTATGCTGTAAATTTATGTGTCCTGGCCATAATTTTACGGTTCTCCACCACCCGGGACTATACATCAGATACATGCCTCCATCTCATGCTGTATATGTGTATAGACGGTCAGTTCATCACATGCTGTAAATTTATGTGTCCATAACTTTAAGGTTCTCCCCCACACGGGACTGTCCATCAGATGCTGTATTTTCTAACCATTATTTTCCCAAACATCATTTGATGAAGCTATGCTGTAAATTTGTGTGTCCAAAATTTTAAGGTTCTCCCCTACCCGGGACTGTCCATCAGATACTGTATTTTCTGACCATTATTTTCCCAAACATCATTTGATGAACTCCCGTCCCCCGCCAACCCTTAGGTTCGTCCGTCCATCACATGCTGCCCCCGCCAACCCTTAAGTTTGTCCGTAATATAATATGCTGCATATTTATGTGTCCAGAATTTTTAACCATCATATCTTGGAAAATAATTCCACAAATGTTGATTTTTATTGCTTGACGGTAGACTGGTGGTAGGCCAAGAAACCTACTTCGCGTAGGCCTAACGGTATAGTATATCAGATATGTATAGGCCTACACAAAGTCCAACGGTGTCGCCCAAAGAGAAGCCTACAGTACATTACGTATGTGTCTAGGCTAGGCCTAGGTACACCAGGTTAAAGTATACTAAAACACTAATAGAACACACAGAACACCTTCAAATAATAGCACAAGTAAGTGGCCGATATGCCACAACTATCTCAGTTTGCTCAATGTTTACCGACAGTCGCGAAAACAACATAAAGAATTTTTTAGGCAGCTCGCGACAGAAACAAAATGTCGGGAAAGTTTGACCCGACGCATGCGCAAATCAAATTTTCGACTAAAAAACGACTCAAAACTGGTGGTAGGGGGTATATGTTTTATCGCCTAATGCTTACATTTTTCATCTAACTGAAAAAACAACATTTCTTGCACAATTGCATGTCCACCAGCAACTATCGAGCACAATGTATACCTCTATGCACCGTCTCTGAGCCTATTTGTTTACAAATATGCTGACCTCTTTTGGTGTCACATCTCATACACACATTTTACATGTGAACCATTACATTAGTTCCATGTGACCTAAGGTCACAAAGGAATCAAAAAGGGTCATGTGACTATAAAATGTTTAATAATCATGTAGTTAATTTTTGTCTGCATTACTTTATCATTGCTTACCTTGCCTGTCTTGTTAGAGAGCTTCCAACTCCAGAGTCTCTTCGTTCTCGGAATTGTATGCCTTGTTCCTCTGGTTCTTTCAGCTCTTCTACAGAACCAGTAGTATCAAGACCACTACAAGATGAGGTGGCTTCAATTCCTGTGTCACCATCTGTCAATTTCTCTGTATGGTATGTGTTAGGTGATTGAAGAGGTGAATGGAGGGGAGAGGCTAAGGGTGAGGGAAAGGGAGAAGGGAAAGGCGACACTTCGGATTCATGTGACAAGGAGAGTTGAGATGACACTGAAGACATACTGCTGTCACCTGAATAAGTATAAGTAAACAATTTTTTTAAACTTCAACCCATCACATTCATAGGACTACTTACTGTATACAAACATGATCCATATTTTACTTCTCTTTTTCAAAATGTAGGTAATAAATTATTCAACAGGAGAGTCATGCCCTGCTATTCATACTGTATAAACTTTAATATACTGTATCAGGAAGATTATTCATTTATTATCAGTGAACTATTCTTTACAGGGAAAGATAGTAGCCATACCATACAGATTGGCAGATTTATTGTGGTATTTCATAATTTAAAAAAAAAGTTTGGAATTCTAAGTTAGGTTGAGGCACATGGTTGGCAATGTAGTTCACTTCACCCACGTGAACATAGCATTTGGACCATGACATGATTTACAGACTTACTCTATTACATGATAATTATTAATGTGTAAAACCTGACCCAGTCTTAATAAAACAAAAATCAACAAATTAAACTCACTTATCCCAAATGTTTCCTGCATTTCATTGATGCTTTCATTAATTCCATTGAGTAACATTTCAACTTCATCATAAGGATCTATATCATTTCCAGAATTTAACTGCTCCTCCGATAATTTAAATGTAGTGCTCTGTACCGGGAGACTACTACTTCGGTCCCGTTGAAGGGGCTCGTCATTCAAATCCTTACTACCGACCGACAAATTATTAATATCATCAAAAATGCGTTGTTTTTCTGTAAAGATCTCCTCATCAGATTCTGTTAAATAAGGCGAGAGATCTGACCAATCATCATCTAGATATGCAGGTGTACTTGCGCATCGAACTCTCTTTTGACCAAGATTCTGTAATTTATAAATCTCTGACTTGAGATCATTTTCAAAGCATTCCTCATAAATGTCAGAATAATCTAAACTAGCTTTATTATCATCTGGTACATTATCATAAAAACTACTGCTTCTGCCTCGCAAATGATAAAAAGATTCTTCCCATAACTCTTCATCACATTTGGATGAACTCTTTTTCTTCACTGGTCCATTTAAATGCCATGGGGATTTACTTCCATTTTCATTTATTCCACTTTCTCCAGAATCTTTATCTCCTGTTAGTGTCTCTTCACTATCAACAAAATTTTTATTTAAATTGCTTTCACAGTCTGTTTTCAAAGCATCCAGTTTACGGTGACTAACTGGAGAGCTGGGTTCTGAGAAGACTATACCAAACCTCTTTGAGCGATCTCTGCTGTCAAGAGAGCTCCCACATCGTCTCACTGTAGTAGATGTTTTTAACAGTGTCTTCTGTGCTGTCTCAACATCAACACATTTGTATATTTCAATTCGAGATTGAAATTCAGGTGAATCGACAGGACTAATAGGTGAACTGATGTTCAGTGTTTTTCCATGTTTTTTTCGCAGACTCCCACCTCGTTTAGATTTAAAACTGTCTAATCTTTTGAGAAAACTTTTTGCACTCTTCATTTTATCCTCCTGTTTTTGGGTATTGTTATTTATAACCTTCGTATTTTTGTTAACAGGCTTTATCTCAATGACGGTGTTTCGAGGTGTTCCATTTACTGGTGGCAAAGGTGGTGAAAGACTTAATGGGGACGTTGGACTAACTGGAAACTGAGGAAACAGTGGTGAATCTGGCAAGAAATTTGACGAGTATTCTTTGTGAGCTATGGCAGGACTTTCATGACTGCTTGCACTAGAATAGCCACCATTGTGATCATTGTCACTAGTTGCACTTTCTCGACTGCTATTCTCAATGTGTGTGCCTGTGTGTGAAAAGGTAGGGAAGCTTGCTTGTGAGGGGAAAATGCAAGAATCACTTGGTGACATACATATAGCGTCTTCTGCTAATTTGCGAGACCACCGCCGACTGCTTCGCTGGTACTGCCACTTATCGCTGATTGCACATTGGTCTTCTTCATCAGAATCATCACCCTATGAATAAAAACATAGCCATATCAATTATCAATTAGAAAAATAAAGCTTTAAATAATATTAAATTGTTAACATGTTTACAGTCTAGGCACTATTATTTTAGCAGGTAGGAGCAAGCACAGTTTTGGTCAATGCCTTTGAGCAACAGGTTGCCTGTGTCTCCAGTGCAAATTTGTATTCCATTCCTTTGCTCACTCACCTACGTCCATCAACTCACCTACAGTAAGCAGAGGTTTGAGATTGAAACAGAGCACAAATGGGTGCGTCCCTTCAGAGAATCTGAATTTTCATCTAAATATTAAGTTCAAAATTAAATTCTTGTCGATTATTATTGTTGATTACCTACTTTTTAGGAAATCCTCATGTACGATACAGTACTTTGTAAGCGTAAGTATGCATTAAATGATTGTTGTTAAATATTAAATTTTTATTTATGCAGTGGTTTTATTTACAAATTTTTTGTTTGATAAAATAAAATCCATCAAAATTATATTCTTTTTAAGAGCTTACTTACAGAATTAATCTTTATTTTTTGTGAGTATTAAAACAGTGCAATTATTGTGGGAAACTGTTTTAGGCACATGGCAATCTCAATAAAATAATTTAATTGGATAGGTATTGATTATTGTTAATATTTTCATTAGTATCATTATTAAAACATTTTGAAGTACGTTACTGCATTTTTTGTAATTTTTTTTCATTTTATTGGAGACAATCAATTTTATTTTGAATCAGGCTCAAATCCAGCCAATACAACTAAAAACAGATTCACTATAAAGTCGCACACATAAGCTTAGTTTCTAAAGCATCATTCCCAGTGGTAGGTGATTATTCCATCCTAAGGTGAGTTTTGTATTTGCTGTAAAAATAAAATATCAATCACTTGCAATCATCAAAGTTATTGTACTTCCTGGTGTACCATATCAGTACAAGGCATTGGTTGATTGTATTGGTTAATTGGAGCTTGACAGGGTACATTTTGATAGATCCCTGCTCAGGGACGAGGGCGTATCCCCATACTGAGGTTGGGGTGGTGGCTTGGATTTTTTTTTTAGTTACATCTGCTCACTTGTTCTGCGCATAGAGACTATCGTATTTTGCGAAATATAAATGAATAACCTTTAACCTCTAACATTTTCAATGTATCTGGGTGCCAGGCCTCGAAAGTAATTTTTTAGGCCTCTGCCCATGAAAGTCATCTCGATAAAATGCCTGCAGCACCAAATTTTATCTGTACACTATACTGTATAGCCCAATAGCTTATTTCTTTAATTTTTTCCCCCCAAAATGCCTTCGGAACATTCATGTTGCCTTCGACCACCAGTTGTGTGGTCATGTGCTTTTTCCAGCCCTGCTAGACTACCTAACCACAAATCAATCATATGTACAGGTAGGCCGACAAAGTAATACAGTATACAGATGTAGCCTACATCTACATGGAGGAGTGAATCCAAATTTGTATGATCTGAAACAGTAGGTTATCTACTGTACATTAAATAGACAAAAGCACAAGTTGCTTACACTTTACAGAGTCAAATTTACTTTACCTTCATTAAAATAAATATAAAGTAAACAGGACTTTGTGAGGGCCAAGGTTCCTATGCTTCAATCAAAAATCAATTAACATTCTGAAGTAAAGTATTGTACTGTATATAAAAAGCCTTCCCTATGTATGCTGACCCAAAGGTCATAAGATCATTAGTTCCAACTTAATCATTTGTGTGAATGGATGTGCTGGATAATTGTCAGTTATCATCTTATTTTAAGGCTGGATATTTAATGCGAGGCTTGAAAATAATAAGTTGGATCATGGAGAAAAAAAAAATACAAAAATTTGTATACCACCATGGTTGGACTTACTTTTGTTAATATTAAAAGCTGATTAATGCAGTAAGACCATGCCAGTCTTGTACTAATTAGAAAAGCAGGGTTGTACATGTTAATGATTCTAAGGAAGCATTGTCTTCATGTTTAAATTCAACTTTGGACAAAAGTTTAGACCATCCTACAGTACTTTGGAAAGTATGGTAGGTAACAAGGGCGGGTTGAAGATGTTCCTGTCAGAGATGCAAAGCATCAATCGAGGACCCAGTTTGAGGGTCGTTTTCCCATTTATCCCCCATCTGCCACTTAATAATTAAGTATAAACAGTGTTTCATTCTGTTGCTATTTTTAATGTTGAATAAAATATATCTGTTTACATATAGCTGATTGGGTCTAGCTCTAAACTTTCTAAACAATCTTTCTTCAACTGAATGATAGCACATGTTTATTAAATTCAGGTCAGGTCTCAGGGTTAATCAATAGTGATACACAAAATAGTTATTGATAAAATTAAGAAACCTGGTTTTAACCATGGGCCTCCATGTTTTAACAATTGATTAAAAACTGTCTGGATTGTAGTTGCTGTCTGGATTTGTAGTAGATAAAGAAAATGTCTGTTTAAATGTACACAACAATAAATAAATAATTAAATGTGATAACTACTTTGATATTATAGCTTGATCTTAACCTAGTACCTTGAACTAGTACATTAATGGTCATGATAATTAATTCATGAGTATTAGCCAATAAGGGGATGATAGTTTGCATTCTCAAGGTAGAATGCAAACTATAGAATGTGTCAAGGCTGCTATTGTAGTGATAATTACAACATGGGACAAGTGAGCAAGTATTATAACAGTGGGTACAAAATACAATACAATACAATTACAATGGGAAATTTAAATTCAGCTTATGAGTGTTCAATATTATTGAACATGGTAAGATGCTAACATATATAATAACACTAGAATAATAATTCAATAATAAAGTTTTATGATTAGATTTACTTAATGAAAATTTTTTTAAATTTACATTAATTTACTTTTTAAGTGTTTAGGAAATGCTCAATGCGCCTTTGAGAATAAAAAGGATGTGTTTCAGGAACAGGACTTAATGTGGAATCAGTTTGCTTTGTAGAAACATCTGTTATATCCATATGTGCATATTTAAGTTGATGAATGTATAAACAATGCCTGAGTGAATTCCTATATTGAGTGTAAATACATTTGATAGGGCTGTCATGCGCAAAGTTATGTACTGTATACAGTACTGCATCACACCAGACCAAAAATGATTACATATCTATGTATAGAACTCATTCCAATTCAATCTGTTTATTGTTGCAAAAGCCTTTTAAGGCAATTATCCATCACAACAGAAATATAAAGGACAATACATAAAAGACCTATTTGCCTATTAAAGGAACTATGTAGGTTCAAATTTAATTATTTTTGTATATTCAATGGTATTACATCAAGTGGTAAAGAGGTTTGCAAGGGTTTGCAGGTTTTTTCATTAAAAAAAAACACAATTTCCCCAAAAATGGATTAATGTATAAATAACTACATAATTTTTTTTTTTCACGCTGTGGCTAGGGATACGGTATCATATCTTATCTTCCGTTTGGTAAAGGGTAAATTGCATCGTCCAATAAAATGCCTCCAACTGTGTGATGTCATTGTTCATAAAGACTTGTGAAATCGCTTGCTGAATGCAGAGTGCAAGTTGGTGAAGCAACATTCAGTACTGTTATACAGCATTCTAAATGAAAGATTACTGTAGGAGGAATAGTAGACTGTCACGGCAAACAATATCTGGTTGCTTTAATATGGAGAGCTAATATATTGATTGGAGAACTAATATATTAATTGCATTAATTAATTAATTGTTGTTTTTGTAAACATGTATTATTCTTTAGTTTAGTTTCTCTTTAAATCTTTCGTTTTTTCTTGTCTTGCTTGTTTTGCCTTCATGCAAATGGTTAATTTTTGAGTCACTCATTATTAAGTGAAATATATTATATTATTAAAGGATCTTAAAATCATTCATTTTGATTGTCCGAAATATATCATTTTTAATTCCTCCCCAAAAACCCCATAAATAATTTATCTTAATAAGCAACTTTTCCTAGAGACATAGTGCCACTTTCGACATTTGTTTGTCTTTCATATATAATTTTAATGTATTCTATTTGTTGCTTTTGTTTGATATACAGACTTGTGATTTTTATTGGCCTGTTTGAATCTTTATCAATAATGTTAGTTAATTCTCTGTTTTGTTTAGCATTAAGTAAACATAATATTTTTAAATGGTGTTTCGTTATATGCCTATTTTTAAGTTTACTTCATTGCCTCTAAAAAATTTTAATTTGGATGCATCACTATTTTTGTTGTGTGTGCCACCGACCTTAAGGTGTTCTAATAAGTTGATTGATTGATCTATCTTGAATATGAATTAATCCTATTACATTGTCTTAATATGTCGCTAGTGTTATAACAACTTGGCAGGAAAGCAGGCTCACAGCCAGCGATTTTTTAACGATGTCATCACTCCAGTTGCGGCATTTTATCGGATAATGCAATTTACTGTACGTTTAAGAAATGAAAGTTAAGATACGGTACTGTATCTCTAGCCATGGCGTTTTTTTTTTTTTATTTACATAAAATATACAGTATTATAATCATTATCAAGTGGTTTGCAGTAGGCCGAAGTTTGGAGGGTTTGTAGCAATGTATACGGAGAGGTGCTGCATTTAGGGGGTATATTTTCAAGGACTTGGTATCACAAGTATGGGAAATATGGGGGAGTGGCAGCATTTATGGGTATACTTGCATGGACTTTGTAGCACAAGTGTGGGAAATAACCGGGGTAAAAGTCCCTGGCCTACTGCGTCCTGTATCATGTGACAAGATTTTCCGCATGATTTTTGTGGGAATTTCAAGCTTAACTGGGTGCGAGATCGCGACCAGACTTTTTGCCATCAGGAACCAGTCAATATTGCGCCCTCTCCGGCAGTATTGAGTGGCCTTTTTCCTGTTGTCTTTAGAGAAAGTCCATAAGAATTTGCAGAAAAATAGGTAGTGAAAATGTCTTGAAGTGGCTGCGGCACCTCCATGTTTGGTTGGTACAGTGAGCTCCCAGGGACCCTAGTATTTCACTACACTAATCAAACTATTCATTAAGTGGTAGAAACTAAGGTCCTAAAATTTAATTTAATATTAATGTATAGTTCAAGCTCTGCTATAGGATCAGTCCCAGTAGCAAATCAACTAAACCTTTGTGCAGTGTGTTACTGAACCTTCTTTATGTGCATGATCTGAATGTCAGTCTACAACCCTTTATGTGGAGCTGTGGTCTATTTCTAGAACCAATGCCGAGTCCTATTAGAATTTATTTATTATAGACATCATAAAAATTTTTAAATGCACAGAGAAGCATACTGATGTGTTTCTTTTATTAACCCATCACTGCGCAGTGTTTGTCTCACCTCTGTGCTGGACAATTTTTTAAGTAAATAAGGTGATATTTTGAAATAAATGTGAAAAAAATACTAAAAGAGATAATTTTGAATTTCTTTTTGTGTTGTAGGGTGGGCAAGTGGTTGGCCTATGTGGGGAATAAAAAAAATGGTGATTTGCATAATTATGTGGTCATGTGACCTATTGGTAGCCATATTGGATCTCCCATTTTTCATCAAATTTTTTTAAAAAGCTACTTTTTTTCCAAGACATTTTTGTGGGATATGTTTTTTTTCACTGGATTATGATGTAGATATATATAATGAATAAAAATATCAAAAGTTTGAATTATCTTCATCATTCGATAAAAAAAATACTGACAAATCAACAATTTTGGTCAAAATCATGAAAAAACATGAATTTTTCAAAAAAATCACTTTTCGAAATAGTAAGTGGTTATTTTAAAATTATTTTGCATGCTAGGGCAAGAGGTTGGCCTATGGTGTGGGCACAATTTGGAAATAGGGGATTGCCTTCTCCTAGGCCGCTTTGGTAAATTGCCAATATAGGCTTACTCGTCACTTCCACCATCAAAATCTACAGAGCTCGGACTAGGCCTAGCCCAGCTTGAGCAAGGCCCTTCAAATCCACAAATTCATCTGAAGAATCACTATTGGAACTATAGTCAGCTGATGGAAATGTAGTTACTGAACTGTCCAACTCAAAGTCATCTTCACTGTATCACTTCTTTCAAGGCTGTGCACCCGCCATCTTCTTGGTATAAGCACAATTTTTTATGAGGAAAAATATTCTAGTTGATAGAAAAACTACAGAGGGCAGATGTTAGTACAACAGTTCAACGACGTATAATTATCCCCGGTAGTACCGGGGATACGCAGCGAAAGGGTTAATGTGAACATGTATTTCAGAATCTTTCAATTTAGTTGGAAGTTGAAAATTTAAGGTGCACAGTGTAGCACTGAATTTTAGAATGTTGCAATGTACACATGATATAATATGACATTAATCAAAATTCAATTATTTGCCATTCTATACAATTACATGAAATTTGTTCACTTTATCAATTTCCATACATCCTGTTTGATATAGAGTTTAAGTAAACGTGTCACAATGATATGGGAGATTGTGTAACAAATAAAAGTGAACGCCAAAATTCCTTGAACAAAAGGGATTGGCTTGATTCCAAGTTTCAAACATCAAATGTAATTCAAGCTCCAGAATACTGCGGCTATCCCTTTGACTGATGTAATTCTGCAGATTGTGGTGGTTCCGCGGATCTGCTCTCTTTGACGAGTAGCATTCAGGAAACAATTTGGCAGTATCGCATCACTCACTACTACACAAAATATACAATTGTTACAGAATTCCTGAAGCGAATAGGGCGACACTGTGAACCATTAACTAGCCTACCGGTAGCCCAACACACTCTGAATAATGAACATGGCCTTCCACCACGGATGCAATGACTTATTTCCAAATAGATATGGAACAAATATCCCTTTCACCTTATACTGTATGCAAATGCAAATACAGATATGATGATAATGAAAATGAAATACCAGCCTTAATATCATGTTTAACAACCTACCAGATGTCTTGGAGAGCTTTCGATCTTCATGGTAACACACTTGTTGAGAATCTGCAGCCGCCTGGAAGAAACAAACAGTTGTTCATATAGCAATAATACTATTGAATGAGATATACTTTTCGCTTGTGTCAATATTCTGGTTGAAAATACATATCTTTACATAACAGTATCAGCGGCCCCTCATATGCCTTCAATAATACAGTTGAATGTCAAATAAGCTTTGATTGTTTTTTAATCTCTAAAACATGAAACTCACCCTACATAATGTATAGCTACTACATATAAAATTTGACAATCCAATTTTCATTCAATCCTGTTTTATACAATAGGCAATATCAGAACATACTGAATACAACTCAGGTTATCAGATTCAGTGAGATGATTCAGAGAGACCAGATTCATTTGCCTCTCATCCTTATGTATGAGGCCATTGGCCAATCAAAATGCCACACTTATCAAAGCGAACCTTGTGAGTGTCCTATCAATTAAAATTCTTAACCCATAGGGCTGTTATGATCTGTTATGAACAGAGAAAGGCAATTGCATTATAAAATTAATAAGTTCAATGGACAAATTAAAATAAGACCTGTGCAAAGGGCCAAGAAAAATGTCATTTTCATAATGTACATTTAATTTTGAATGCTGCCCTCAACATATCAGCAACTACTGTAATGAGAGACAATTTCTATTTTTGTGTTACTGCAGATGGAGGTGGCTCTGTGTGTGTGAACATACCCTAAAGTAAATGACAGCAGCAGTTTTGACAGGCTATAAGAAATAGCCAATGTTCAGGATTAGACTACACAAAAACAAAAAAGGTCCTACTGTATTGAAACTCATTTAACATGGTATTACTGTATTGGGGGAGGGAGACCTTGAAAATATTGTTGAAGTGTGTAGGTGCTGTAGTGTATAAATCATGCATATATTTTTAATTTTATATGACATTACTAGTGGCATTCCGGAGTATGTAAATCCATTTGTAATACTGGAAGACGTTATATTACGGCAATACATTATTACCGCAATATTTGTTTGGTATACTGTAAAAGAGACATGCCTGTAAAACCAAACCAGCAGTATTACTGCAATATTGCCAGCCCCGTATCTGTGATAGCTTAAGATACAAAAGCCAATTTGAAATTGAACATGTGTCCAGTAAATCTAGATTTATATAGTCTTGACTTCAATATGTAAAGCACATCTATTGGTTACCTATCTTCAGTTATAATATTAAATCTCGCTATACAGAGGCCTGGTTTCAAAAGAGCATTCTGATCCTGACTGGAAGCTAACTGATCGGGATAAGAATACCAGAATCTGTTAACTGATCACAGCCGCAAAATTGACCTCATTCTTATAAACACCTATCAGACACATTTCTTATTCGCAGATACAGTAGTGTTTCTTTTTTTTTATCAACTTCTTCCAGATATTTTTACCCAAAATTCACAATGGTTCTAAGGGTCTTTTTTCTAATGACAATATTATATTATAAAAACTTCATTGAAAATAGATGGTTACCTATAATTTTCAGTGTCACAAATTAGGTATATTACAGTAGTCATTTTAATCATCATCTTGTTTTTAGGCACAGTATTAGTTTAATTCTCATTGAAAGTGGTTGATGATATACAATAATTCCAAGAGAAGATTGCAAGACTACTACTACTAGCCCAATTTATCTGCAGTAACATTAATCAACATGATTTTTTTGCATTCTATATCTAATATTACTACTGTATTTACCCACCAAAGTGTTATGCTCTTACTTTACATGCCTTAATTACAATCAGATTCAGATAATTTTATTGTCATACTGTAATACACAAAATACTGTTGTTATGAAATTCTATTTCCTTGTTACCAAAGGGGACACAAATAATGCAAGACAATTACAGTATCAATTCAGGTGCAAGACAATTACAGGGTTTGAAAATTATTAATTTTATTCATGGTGTTTGTCCCTATCATACCCCTACTGCTGGGGCTTCAGCCATTACTTTCTAGCACGTTTAATTAAAACCCTTTCACTTCCATGTTAAAAAAAATATATATTTTTTTTAAATTGACATAATAAATAATAAATTAAAATTATTTCTATAAGAGTAATAAGATTATGTTCAATAACAATTGGAAGATAATATGCTTTTCCTAAATAAGCTGTTAAGTAGTTTTGTGAAATTAAAAAAAAAAATTAATAATTTTAATTACAGTAATTTTTAAATGAATTTGTATAACTATTTTGAAAAAAAAAAACTAAAAATACTCAGTCAACAGCTAGAATAAAAAAATGCATAGAATTAAGTACAAATTATTCCTTTACAAAATAAAACTAAATTTATAATTATTGAAGATAAAAAAATAAAATATAAAATTTCACCTCGAGAAGGGCCTATAGTAAACCGCTTCAGTCACATTCTACGCACTACGGAGCCTAGCGTGATAAGCCTAACATACCTTGTGACGTAAAATCCATAAATCATTATATTTGCTTAGCGCCTATTCAAGGTCGTGGGAAATCCGCACCTAGTATCTTTAAAAAATCGAGTTGGTGTCAAAAAAAAATTCTGAAAAAATATGAAAAGTTATGATAATATAGCAAAATGACCCACCAAGATGTTCGTGAGGTTTGCGCATGTCACCGGAAAACTGGAAGTTGAGGAGTTCAACAGTCATATTGGAGTTCATTTTTAGTTCCTTTGTGACCTTAAGGTCACAAGGAACTAATGGGGAAATTCGAACGTGAAATGTGTGTGTGTGTGTGAGCAGCGGGTTTGTAAACAAATAGGCTCCTAAACAGTGCCTCACGGTGGGTAAAATGTTTTCCTCATAGTAACTGGTGGACATGTAGTTGTGCAAGAATTGTTTGTTTTTTATGTTAGATGAGAAATGTAGGACGTACGCGATAAAACATATACCCCCACCACCATTTTTGAGTCGTTTTTAGGAGAAAATTTTGATATGCGCATGCGTCGGAGAAACTTTGCCGACATTTTGTTTTTCATCGCGAGAGGGTAAGCGAGCTCCATAATGCATACCTTGTTGGTGTAGTTGACCAATTGTTTACGGGATCGTCAGTAGGGTGAATTTAGGTCGTGTTAATGTAGCAGGTACACGTGTTATTAAAAAGGAAAAAAGTGATCTAACCAAACACGGTCTTTACATAATGGTATTGGATCGAACGTGTTTAATATTTTGCGGAAATTTTGTTTTCTATCGCGAGAGTATAAAATTTTCACTAGAAAAGTTGTCTGTGTTGTCTAGGCCCTAGCGTGAACTTAGGTAGTTGTGGTAAATCGACCACTGCTTGTCGTCTAGTAGGTGTAACATGTTTTTTAGTAAAAATTAACATGATCTGAACAACATTTTACATTATGGTATTGAATCGAATGTGCTTACCTACCTAAAGTCTTTTACACACGATGAACACGGCAATTGACGTTGCTGTTGGTGTGCATTACGTACAAAACACGACGACAACAGCAGCATTCAGTCAGTCTTGTTAAAATAAATAATATATTGGTCTACCACAAGACTACCATACAGATCAAAAAACAATAATCCGCGACAAAATAAAAATCAAGAGTATTTGTAACGATTGAATATGTAGCATAAATGCATTCCGTGAAAACCTGGTGTACAGTTAACTGTACTTCAAACACAGAAACATTGTTGAAATGAAATTCCTCTAGGCCTATATATAGAAAAACGAAAAGAAAGTGGTGCAGAAAAAAACAAATTGTGCACAGTTACTGTACTTTAAACACAGAAAAACGTACATGTTGTCAGTATTATGAAGTTTTTTGTTTACGACTGCTGTGTAATTTTACTGGTTTACAACATAGTCATGTCATATATACTTGAATATGTAAAATAAATGAGTATTCCGTATTCTTAACTCTCTGCAAACTCCAAAATAAATCATTGACCGAGGCACGTTTTATCTACCACCATACAGCGCATGCGTGACATGCAGTATGCAGAGCAGTGGTTGTAGTTATTGTGACAACTATTCTACTTATTACGCATGCGTGTCACTAAGCAGATTTTGAAGAAGGAAAGAAAATTTGTTATTGTCAAACCATGGAGGTATGTCAAACAATGAAGACTATTTTAGTAGATGATAAATGGATAAGTTTGCCTTCTAAAACCGCCAACTTTGTTTCTGTGGTTTGACCAGTCAAGTTCAAAACAGTGGCAAATCTGCCAAATTGTGAAAAAATAAAAATGAAGGACATTTTGTGGTGTAACCCAACACCACCCCAGCCCTACCATGGTTTGGGTTAAGGTGGGAGCTTTTTAGGACATGACAGCTTTGGATACCCGAAAATGTTAATCATACTTCAAAATTTGTTATCTCAAACTGACGTACCGATTTCCGATGTCAAAAACCCCAAAAAATAGGGAGGTCCCTGTTTTTAGAATTTAAAAAAAAAAAAAATTAAAGTCGTAAAGTCGGTGTGGGATTCTACCCAGGGAACCAGTGTAATATTTTATAGCAGTAGTGACAGAGAGTTTTCTCTATTGTTGAGAAAACAAAACCAAGCTTTGAGCTAGCATGACAACAAAAACTTAAAGTGCTTTAATGACACACAAGCTGGAAATGTTGAACAGAGATTATAAGTATCATTCGAATAAATATTAATGTTATGACTCCAAATGAGATCCAGCAAAACAAGCAACATACCGCGCCCTTCATGGTGGGTTTGTAAGCCTACTGATTAAAATGTAACTTAAATATTTTTTCTTGGTTGTGAGGTAAATAAACAGTACACTTGAAATTAAGTAACTCTTGTTTTGTTTGAAGCAACTGTACAGGAATTAGGATATATAATTGCCATCTTAATTTTTTGTCACCAATGAATAGCGTCCCTATTTTTGATATTCGAATGTTGGCAGGTATGTAAATATACAGCATTTGATGGACGGACCTGTAGGTGTAGGTGTACGTAAAAACATTAGAAACCATTACTGGACTACAAATCCCTCTAAACTACGTTTACGTACAAAGGAACGTACACACCCACAGGGTTCTGGTTACTTTTTTTAAACAACCAA